GGCATTTGAAGATCACATTTTTGCTGCTTTTATGATGTTTTCTTACTAAAAATTGTCCAAAACAAACGAAAAACATAGTATGGGCAGCTAAAACTGGTGCGAATCTTAATCTACATATGTCCCCTGCAATATGTATCGCGCCCAGCGAAATTGGTGTGTACCACCTAAAAACCTTCCCTTGTCAGCCGAGGTGTTGGCGCGCGGAGGCAGCAGAGCGTGTTTCTTTCCGCTGTGGTCGACGCGGCTGCGCGGCGGCAGAACTACACAGCCGTGTTCGGCACTCGCACCCACCCCACCCCGCCACGGCCGCGGGAGAGGCCAAAGTTGTGCAATCCCTGGCAGTAGTAGCACTACAGTAGTTTGTAGCCCGGGCCAGGCCATGCATGACCTCGAGGCGGAGGAGGGCCCAGGAGACCGCTGCTCACGGCGGCGGCGCGGCGCGGCTCGGCTCGCCGGGTCGCCCCACTCCCTCCGAGGGTCCGTCCCGAAGTCAAGTCGGCCCCTCGCCGCCCTCAGCCCCCCGGCGGCGTTGGCGGCGCCTCTGGGCACATTGAGACCAAAGTCCAAAGTACGGCCGGCAGCGTCACGCCATGCCAGGCCGCCGCCACGGGGCTGAGCACTAAGCCCCCGTTCCGTGCTGTAAGCCTACGGCAGCCCCCGCGCGCTGTAAGCCTACGGTCCTGCGCAGCCTCCTGGCCACGCAACGCCTCGCTGGCGATAAGCCCCTGGAGCTCACCTGGTACTGCGTGCAGTTGAAGCAGTGCCAGCAGCAGATGTCGCCCTCGACGTACTTCTTGGCCTGGCCCTGGTCGCACGGCAGACTGCACACCGACTCGGGCACGAAGGGGCTCTCCATTTTGAACTGCACCGCTGCGGAGGACGAGAGCAGAACACGGGTTAAAGTCGGTGGGTTGGACAAGGGCCGCGCCAAGAACAAGCAGAAGTGAGGGGGACAGAGAGCGACAGACAGAGAAAAAAAGTTTTTAACACCTCTCGATTTTACTTTCAAATAACTCCCCGCTCATCATCACTGTCGCTGTCCTTCACTCATTTTTACGAGGAAGCGAACAAAAGGGCCAACGGCGGCGGGCCAGGGCGGCAGCCGTGCGCCGCTCATATCATGAATTAAATTAAATTCCACGTGTTTTGAAATGCAGATCCCTTCTTCTTATGAATCAGCATTATTTACTCCTAATCCCGACCTACCGTTGAGGCCGCCGTCGCCCAGC